TATTCTGGAGGTTGTTTTAAAGTGCCCAAGGACTCAAACTTTTTGGCCGCAGACCTTGGACATTCCAACAGGACTCAGCACGCGATACCCACGAATGATTACAAAATGAGGTTCCTCACTTCATTTCCAGCGCACAATGGCCACTAAAATCTCCGGATACCAATCCGTTGGACTATTATGACTGGTGTATTTTAAAAAGCAAGGTTGGCACTAAAAAAACTCCAAAGTGATGATCACCTCAAGCAAGCGTTTCGCCGGGAATGGGCCAAAATACCGCAGAGAAACATTCGGGCAGCGTGTGACGGTTTCATTGAAGGCCATAATTCGTGCCAAAGGTTAGCAATTCGAATATGTCTAAACTTTTCTAAAATTTGATGATATTTCCGACATTTTTTGCTTTCATTCAATAAAATTTAAAAAAAAAATGTAAATATTACGGCATTTGATTTTGTTGCAGTTTTTTTAATCTCATCCTGTATAGTTTCATATCAATTTTTCTTCGAGTTTCGGAAATGTCCACATCGTAGTTATACAAACCCAATTTGGGTTAGAACATATCCGTTTGGACAGTCAGATGTAGACATTGTTTTTTAAAATGGGTTTTAATACATATTGGCGTATTTGAAAAATTAACAATTTCAAATGTGTATTAAAATTATTTTAATTCTTTTTTTTTTTTTTTTTTGGTCAAAGTTTTGGTCGATTTTATGAAACAAGTGTACAATTTCATATTACGCCTAAAATCATGCTACATTTCTTTAACAAAAGTTATACGCAGGGATGGATATGCTACCATAGCTTGGCACTCATGTGGGGCACACAAACAATGGTGAGTGACAAATGATTTTCAAAATGAAATTCTCTTCCAAAAGAAACTCCCAAAATATTAAAACCCATTCGACATTCAAAAAACCTAGTACATTCAATAGTAATTTTCTTAAAAGCTCAAACTCATTTAATTTTCTTAGATTTTTATACGTTTGTTGTAAAAAAAATTATTTCCTTACCATATAATTTAATATGCATTTTATTTTTTGTTTTTTTTTTTTTTTTCTGATTTTCTCAATAAATTGTTTGATGGTGGTGTACGTTTTATTTTCACTATATGATTGTTTTTCAATTACTCAAAAAAACCATGGGAGTTTTCATGATTTGTTGCCTTTTTTATACAGGGGCTTCACATTAGTTACCTTGACAAAGAAGATTATGTATTTCTTTTATTTAAATTTTAATTTAATTTGTTTTCAATATTTCCAATATTTTTAAGATTTTCTCCGAATTTAGGTATTTTTGCATTACATCCAAATATCCTTCACCACGTCTTCTACTGAAGACATAATGATGGAGTAGATTTCGTATAGATCGAAACGTTATCATTTCACATTTTCATAGAACAAGAATTGAGCATTAGCATGATTGAATATTTTTTAATCAAGGCCTATAAAAGGTCGGCCAGTAAGCCCATCTGGTTCTGAGAAGCAAGTAAAAAAGCAGCTAAGTTCAACCGGGTCGAACTTATAATACCCTCCGCCATTTAGACGGTACTTGAAAAATATGGAAAATACCGTTTACATGATGACCTATATACGGGGGCTATACGAGAACGACGACTTGCATTTGTAATTTTTTGTCATTTGCTGTAGTACCCATTACGAACTTTAAATACGAAATTTGAAACAATCCCGGCGAATAATGTCGCTAAAATAATCGAAATACCGAATACCGGGAGGTCCCGTTATATGTGGGCTATACGAAGTCGTGGACCTGCATAGACAATTTTCTATGAAGAAAACCAGTAAAGAAAGTCTTAAAGTCGGGGGGGCCGACTTTATGATACCCTACACCACTTTGCTAATTTAGTAGAGCTGCGCATAACAATTAAACGTTTTTATGGGAGAATTCAATCATACACGCTATGATTATAATTTAAGGTTCAAAGGACTAAATATGCCGAAGCATTTGTATCTTTTAAATTCGGACTTGTATTGCCCATTTGGTGCACAATTAATTTGAAATCGGATAAAAATATATATCCAAATCGGAACCGATCTCGATAAAATTTGGCAAAGATATTTTTGAGCTGTATTTGATATATGTCCCTGAATATCGTTGTTACGGAGTGCATATTATGGTTGTGGGTAACAAATATAACAAATCGAATGAATAATATATATGGAAGCTATAGCTATATCTGAACCGATCTTCACCAAATTTGGCATACTAGCTTCTAGACTCAATTTGGTCGTATGCGCCAAATTCCATCCCATTTGGACAAATATTCGACGTTTGGTGCACAATAAAAGGCAAATCGGACGAAGTTATATATGGGAGCTATATTCAAATCTGAACCGATCTCGATAAAATTTAGCAAATGTATTTCTGAGCTGTATTTGATATATTTCCACAAATATTGTTGTTGCAGAGTGCATATTACGTAGGCGGTGGACAAAAATAACAAATCGGATGAACAATATATATGGGAGCTATATCCAAATCTGGTTTACTCTGTGGGATTTGGAGTTCTCATTGCGCAATTCTTCATAAAATTGCCTCATTACATATACTCGATATTCCAGAGGGTAGTACTTTCAACAACTTCAAACAATTTGGCGTATTTGCAGCACCATATGTTTTTATAAGTCAAACGGTTTGTTTGGATAGATCGGTCAATTATAAGAATAGGCCAGATTAATGTCTCATTCGTTGCTCCCGTTCTTTATGCTGGGGGGTTACTCGATTCGAAAGTTCGAATAAGTCGAAAATTGTATTCGATTGTACATGTAATAGTTTCGAATCGAGTAAAAAGTGCTGTAACTAAATGAATTTATTTTGGCCGTACTTTCGAATGTGTTATTCAGAATTGGCAGTATTTACTTCGTAAAATATCAAAAATATGAAAACAAATATGTATTTACGTTTCACGCCCCTCTAAACATGGATAAATTTAAATTAAATTTTATTATACTACCTTCAAATGCGGCGAATGAAGAAATTTAGCCTGCACCCGGTTCTTTAGCAGTTTATGCCGCCTGCTTTCCCCATTGGTAGCCCGGATGCCATTACATCTATTGCCAGTTCTGCCCATAGATTATTGTTGGCTTTTTTAGCTTCCGGTGCTTTTATATAGCCCCTAGAAAACTGTGGATGTTCCATCATAAAATTGATTGCCTTCTGAATTTGGCTTTGCGTTGTATTGAGCCTACACCATCTAAAGGAGGGTATATTAAATTATTCATTCCGTTTAAATTATTAAGAGTTTATGAAGGGGTTATATTAAGAGTTTATGAAGGGGTTCTACCTCTGGTGCCAGAACATTGCATAGGTTCACGTTTAAATATAGCGCCCATATAGCAGTATATTCTGAAATTCCTCATTTTTTACGATTTATGCCATATTTTCTTGTGGATTTATTTAAATTTAGGTATTTGAACGTTCGGTATCAGAACATTGTTCATATTGGTCGGAATTGTTCCATATGTAGTATTTAACACTTGCAAAGGATAACAAACCTATATAGGTTTTCGTTTTTGAATGGTTCAACCCACTTCATAGTTTATAGAAAACTTTAACTGCCTTCTCCAACCAATCTCTCTAATATTTGCAGTGCAAAGTGGAAAACGCTTTAATCCAGATACGTGTATTTACAAATATGTTCTTTAGCTAATGGCGGAGGGTATTGAAAGTTCGACCTTGCTTACATTTTTCAGTGTTTTATGCAGTTTTTTATTCGTAAAAGTCGAAAATTCGAACAAGTCGAAAGTTGTATTCGATCCGAATTTAAACTCTTATTATGTAACAGTTTCGGATCGAGTAAATAGTGCTGCAACTAAATGGATTTATTTTGGCAGTACTTTCGAGTGTTTTATTCCGAATTGGCAGGATTTACTTCATAAAATATCGAAAAGAAAAGAAGCCAAAACTCAAAAATTAAAAAGAATTAAGTTTCACACGCCTCAAAAAAAATGGATTCGTTTGCTACCTTTAGCCAATTGTGGATGTGCCGTCATAGAATTGAGTATTGTCTGAAATTTGCTTTGTATTGATCCTCTATTATGGAAAGCAGGATATATTCAATTTTTCAAATATTTCTGCCTGTTTGGTGACATCACGATACAGTCCACATTATTTTACATACAGCAATTTGGCACAGAAGTTTGTATTGTGTCGGTATCGGTCCACGTTTTTTGTTTATGATACTTTTCAACGGAGTTGTTCAAAATGTGGTATTAAGAGTTTGCAAGGGGTTCTACCTATTGTAGCAGAACAGTGTCTGTATAGGTCCCCGTTTATATATAGCACTTATATAACGGTACCGACTTATATTCCTCATTTTTTACGACTTAGGCCACATTTTCTATCGGATTTGTTTAAAATTCGGTATTCGAACATTGTCCATATCGGTCCGCGGTTTCTATATAACGATACCGACCGATATTTTGCATTTCGATGATATAAGCCCCATTTTCCACATAATTGTTACACATGTGGTATTTTACACTTTCAAAAATGCAATAAACACTTTATTGGCTTAAAGCTAATTTAAACAGATACTCGTTCTGTTTTTTTTTTTTTTTATTATTCCCAAAACCTTTTTCCTTGTAGTCTCTGAGGAGTGCATGCCAAGGTAGACAGTGTTTTGTAACAACTATATTAGCTGTTTTAAGCGCAATAACTCGCTATAAATGTTCATTTAAATCAGATTTTTGGCATTCATTTGAATTCGAGAAGAAATTAACATTTGTTTTTGATTTTTTATTGAACATTTTACGACCACCAATTTTAACCTGCTGATTCCTTCAATTAAAATACATATGACTGAAAATGGTAACGCAGTGATTGGATTAAGGAATATATCTAGTATATAAGCAATGATGGTGGTGTAGAATTACATCTATACAATACCCATATTCTTAATGCAAATATTTAAAAACTTTTTACTAATGGCCGACCTTTTTCTTCTTGCCAATAGGTTTGATTCAAAAATGCATTTTCAAATGTAATTCATTTTTCAGGTGTTTCGTTTCTTCTTTTTTTTTTGTGAAATATCGAGATTATTTATTACAAACTTTGGGAAAATCTATTAAATTTCTAAAGCTGACTTAAAATTAGTATTGAATACATTTACAAAAAAAACAAGGTTTTCATTCTTTTTTTAAAGAAAAAAATATTATAACTTCAGTGTTACACAATCTAGTTGTAAAAAAATTGATTACTTCTTATGATTTGTTATCTTTCTTTTCGTTTTAAACCAAAAACTTATAACAATCTTAAATTAAATTTATTATAATTAATAATAGGTAATTTTTTTTATTTTTTACATGATATATAATTTAAAAGAAAAAAAAAAGAGTAAAGAAAAATCTTTATTGTTGTGAAAATGATTTTTGGATTTCCTTTTTGTTTTTAGTGTTTAACTTCAGTTGTATTTTCATTCAAGTGGTCATTAATTATAAAAGATAGATATATAGTTAAGGTTTGATTTCAAAATATTGTTTTAGAGGAAAGGGAGAGGGGAGTAGATGGAGGGAGAAGGAAGGTATATAACAAATTAATACATATTCCAGTCTATGTATAAAAGTAAATGATTTCAACATTTCTCTTGGTGTAATTGCAAAGGGAAATCTATATAATATTCATATGAACTGTCTGTATTTGGACATTGTTGTATATTTACTCTTTATGTGGGTGAAAGTGTATTTTTAATAAAAAATGTGTACAGATATAAAAAATGAAAGAATATTAATAATGCGACAGCATTATGATTTTTGGAAGTTTCAATTTTTTTTTTTTTTTTTTTTTGAAAGAAAGAAAAATGTTTTTGTTTTTTAATCGAAATATACATTTGAGCCAAAATGTGAAAGTGTTATGGATAATTGTCAAAAATATCTTTAGAAATATATTTTTGACAATTATTCAAATATATTTATTTAATTATATAGTTTAATGCCAAGAAAGCCCTTAAGGTGAGAATAAATAAGACGGCATTTGACTGGCCTAAGTCTTCGGCTGGCTTCTTCGTAGAGGAACAAAACAAAGACATAGAAGTATAAAGTATACAGTTTTCTATAAATGTGGTTGTTACATTAACATGGCCCTGTCATGAGCTGTTATTCTAGATAGTATAGACACACACCATCTGCTCAGAAGTCATTTTGTCTGGTCCTTTTAAGTCTTTAAACAAAGTAGTCTTAAGTTGACTTATTGTGGGAATACATAAGTCATTGGTTGGTTTCTTCAGAAATGAACAAATAAGCCTGGGGCCAAAATCAAACTAAGTCAACCTAAAACTCCTTTGTTCATCTACGGAGACACCAGCCGATGATATAAGTCAGCCAGATAAGGGCTTTATGTATTTCCACCCTTAGTTCGATTTTTTGCCTTACGGTCCTTTGTTCTTTTCCGAAGGAGCCAGTCGATGACCTAAGCCAGACAAAAAACCCTTTTATGTATTCTTATCTTTAGCTTTAAAAATCGGAAAGAAAAATTTAAGATTTACATTTTTCTTTCATGTGGCAACAAATGTACATAAATTCAAATTTCGAATGCTGAGTTTAGGAATTTTGTATTTAAATTTTATGGCTCTAAAAATGTGTATGTTTTCCTGGCGCAATAGAAGCATTATATTAGACCTTCCATATATAAAATTTTTAAGGATTCAAATACAACAAAATACTTGATCGAAGACCTCCTTTCAGAGGACTTACAGAATTGCAAATATTCTTAGGGTTTTCTTTTTACAAAAAATATTTTTAGGTTTTCCAGATGAAAATAATCCTCTTAACATACAACATATTAAAAGTAAATATACAAACAATATCAACTTAATCGAATTGAATGGGTTTTGAATATTATATGGATTCCCAAATTATTACATTACTTGGTAGTGTTGGTAGATTTTCAAAAAAGAGGCTTTATAAAATTAATAAAAAAAAATATATAGTATGTATATATATGAAAGTGAAATTAAATTATAATTTAAGTAGTTCCGTTGGCTTTTCCATACATGAATAAAATTTCATTTCGTTTCTTTTTTTTTTTTTGTCATACCAAAAACAATCACATCCTAATGGCGGGAAAACATATCAGAAAATGTTTTCTTGCTTGGTATTGTGGCGATTTCGAAGAAATTCATTTTGGAAAATATTCACTTTTCGCATTCTTATCTTTTCAAGTTACAAGTATGATCAGTAATAATAGTAATATAATAAATATATTTATGTATGTAAGTATGTATTTATATATTATTATTATGTAAGTATAGTACAAAGTATCATCATTGTCATTGTGAATTTCAATGATTTTTTTTTCATTTAGCATCAAATATCGTTTAACTTATCTTCATCATTTCTTGACTTTTTTTTCCTTTTTTAGTTCATATTAAATAAGTTATTATTGTTCCGTTTATCTTCTTTTTCTTCATATATGTATGTATGTATATAACTGATTTTTGACACTTAATTCCATAAATATGTATGTAAGTATGTATAATTTTTTCAATGTTTTTTAGGTGTATAAATGTGTTTGAGGGCGAATTTTCATTATTAAGTATTTTTTTATTGTTTGTTGCTGCTTGGTTGGTTGGTTTGTTTGTTGTTGCCTTTTTTGTAGAATTTCTATTACACATTTATTTGCATAGTTGGTTTCTTTCGCTTACCTATATTAAATTGGGCTTACAATAGTTTACTTATATCATATTTGATTTTGTTGTTATTTGCTGTTGTGTTTTCTTGTGTGTGTGTTTTTTTTTTTTAATTTTGTAACAAAAGGACATTCAGTTTCTATCTCTTATCATTATTATCAGCTTCCCTTAGAGTTTTCGTCCTTGACTCTCTACTCTCAGTTTGTGGACTCGGGGATTTATGGTGACACATATGGTGGGGGTTTACGATATGATGGTGTTGCCGGTGATTTCCCTCTGGCCTCGCGACCACCCACCACAACAGCTGGCGGTGGCACATATTCATCACAATCATTATCACCTAAAATTAAACTTTATTACTTTAATGATTTTTACAACAACTACTACTACGTGCAAAATGAGGGATGGGTGTGGGGTTCAATGGCGTAATGGCAACTAGAAATAACTTACCATTCATATTTGAGGTATTGTAGGAGGGTGGTAATAATGGCGGCTTTTCATTCTTTAAGATAATAGGACTCTTGTTACCAATTTCAGGTTTCTCATCGAGTTCATCCTGGAAGATGACAGGTATACCTTTGGTACGGAAGGATTTACGTTCTTCTTCGTCACCTGAAAATTAAAAGGAAGGAAGAATTAGATATAGAAATCATTCAATTTTGTTTGAGATTTTAGAAAAAAAAAAACTATTTTTTTACATAAAAAAAGTTAGAAAATATTAGTCGGTTTTTTCCGACAGATGTATACCCTCAGCGAATGTTCGATTATTTAATTATATTTGACTTTTCAAATTGTTGAATATATGGAGAAGGTTCCGAAGGAATAGGCCAATATTTTCCATTTCGTATCGGACCTAAATAAAGATGATATAAATATTGCGACGTGCCAGTTTTGGGCTATATTGACTACTTCCATCACTTTATACGAGGTATGTGATAATTTTTAGAAAATGTTAAAAGTGTGCGTGAGGTGCCACAAATAGTTTGATTCATTTTCACACTTCATCTAAAACAGATAAAAATATCGGTATGTGCAAAATTACAAGAAGATCGAACTTTTATCTCCGATTTATGCGAAATCATAATTTCTATATTTATCCCAGGATTTTGGTTGAGAGAAATATTTAGATGGGGCAAGTTGTAAAGAATCGCTGACTTGTTTCGCAAGTTATGACAGATAAAAGTGTTGAAAAGTGTGACCACTGTTGTGGGTGAGGTACCAGAAGAAGATCGCAAATATATATCAACTTCGCAACATGTCTTGTGTTAGCAAAAATGTTTGTCAGTGTGCGATTTGAAGAGAATTGAATGCTTATTTCACTTTCTTTGAGCTTGTTTGTTTATCAAAAGCTTGAACCCTATGTGGGGGAGGTACCAGAAGAAATGGTCCGATCTCTACCACCTTTATAACAGATCTAGAGTTGATGAAAATATTCAGATGTACAAAGTCAGAGTGGAATCGGATGTTTATTTCGCGATTTTATGAGTGGACCGATATTATCCATTTTACACCTGACATAGAACTGATGAAAATATTAAGACATGCAAAGTTGGCACAATCAAATTTATAACGCACCCAAGTATTAAATGTGCGTCATTGAAAAATGTATAGTCCCTTGGAACTATTTTTTGTGGTTCTTTGAGAATAATATGTAAGTAAATCTTGGAATTAATTTAAAAACTTACCCAATTCCATTTTACCGCTCTTGCGTCTTCTGCGATGCAGACAACAGGCAATAATCGATGCTATTAGAATCATTGTAACAATAATGATTGCTGGCAGGATAATGGTGTAGAGATAATCATCGGAGAACGTTGACTTCAGCAATGGTTCATCGGTCTTTGTGGGCACATACTCACGATGGATGACATTTGTTTGATCTGAAAATAGAAAATAAGACACATTTCATTCGGAGACAATCAAAATGTTTACACTCCCTCAACTAACCATTACAAGCCAAAGGATATATTTGAATATTTGTAATATTCAACTCTGATCCCAATATCTTTCTCACACGATCCCGCATAGCACCATCCTGTTGATAGACACTGCGCACCGATTCGATTTCTTCTTCGGGACAACGATTGTGTGACCTGTACAACGTGGTATTGTAGAAACTTATCGCTGTACTGTCGGTGTCATGTATTGGATTCACTGAACGAATTTGAATATTTTGCGCCGAGGCATCACCGAACAATTGGGCAATACGCTCAACAAATTTACGCTGCAAATCGGCATGGAAATTTTCGTGTTTAACACCCAAGAATGCCTTGTAGTAGACACTGAATTCCTTTTTGGGAGCGGGATTGACCAGAACAACCAAAGCATCGGTGGCCGTTAAGCCAGCTGTGTCCTCAGCCTCCAACATGTACTCTTCGGAACCAACATCAGCCGCCTTGGGTATGCCATAGAATTCCTCATTTTTCGAATCGAATTGCAGCCAATGTGTGGGACTGAGCTCTTTGTGATCCTTGGTCTTAAGGCTAAGTGTAATTTTACCATCATCAAAGAATGTATCACTGGGCACTTTGTAGACCAACAAATGACCGGCTGTGGCCACAACACGATCCACCTGGTTACGTGGTACTGGTGGTGAGTTCTTTACGCTAATTGTGGGTGCCTTGGCCTTGGCTACGGATTTCTGGCAGGGACCAATCAATTGGCCTGTAATCGATTTTATACCCAATGTAGGATATACCAAATCACTAAGGCGATTGGCATCCAAGCGTTTCACCAAATTATTCAATTCTGTTTCGGGACATTCACTGGTCGGTAGGGTTTCATTCAAATACACCAATGTGGCAATGGAGGGATCCTGGGAATTGGCACGAATTTCACGCACTACAATAGAGCTGGTGTTTTCATCACCCAGGGTTGTGGCAATTGCTGAAAAGACAAGATGGAGGTAAGTAAACGATTTCTGTACGATTCAATTGAGAATATCCTTACCTTTGATGAGTTTCATTTGCCAGTCAATGTAGTGCATGTTCTTTTCGTTTATTTTGACGGCAATATTGACCTCATGATTGACAGTCCTAACACCACGATGTTGTTGCACGGAAATTTCAAAAGTCTCCACAACTGATTCATTACCGGAGTCGGTGGCTGTGAGACGATATTGCCATTTCGATACCGAATCATCCAAAGGTCTTTAAAGAAAGAAAAACGGGAATTGCAATTATTGATTTACATACCAATTGAAAGAGGCAGAGATTGTTTTACTTTTATTGGATTCTTATTAAAAAATAAATACCCCTTCTAGGTGTATCTAAAACTGCTAAAACTTTAGAATCGTGTTGTACATTGTCTTTAAAAGTCAGCGTTAAACGGTGTTCGTTAGGAAAAATATCCCTAGAAATGTTTCCAAAATAAATGGAAGAATAAAGTATTGATAACACCTGAAAAAGGAGTCTTAAAAATCAATATTTAAGGACCAAAAGTTCTCCAAATATTTTTTTAAATTCTAAAGACCGGCGGCTATAGTTGTCCTTAAATATATGGTCGTTAAAAAAAATCCTTGGAAATGTAAAGCGACCAAGTTAAAAGTGGCAGTAGTCCTTGAAAAAATCGTACTAAAAATGCATGTTTAGGTAGCTGACAGACTTTGAAACAAATGTTCTTAAAATCAAAGTTTACGGAGCTGATATCCTTAAGTATTCACATTTAGGGAGCCGATATTCCTTGAAATAAATGTTCCTAAAAAATAGACATTTATTTTTGAACAAAATATTTGTCTAGGATGCCGAAAGTCCTCGTCTTAAAAATTCACGTTTAGGAAGCCGATAATCCTTGAACAATGCCTTTGTAAAGGGAACCGATATTCTAAAATATCTACGTATAGAGAACCGATAAATATTCTTAAAAATTCAATTTTTTTTTTGGGGGGGTGGGTCGATAGTCTTTGAAATAAGACTTTGTCTAGCGTGCTTATAGTTCTTGAAGACATATTCTTAAAAATCGACATTTAGGAAGCCAATAGACCTTAAAAAAATATTCTTAAAAAAAACATGTTTGGGTAGCTGATAGACCCTGAAACAAATATTCTTAATCAAAGTTTAAGGAGCTGGTAATTTTAAGCATTCACGATAAGAGAGCAGATATTCTTTGAAACAAATATTCCTAAAAACACACGTTTAGAGAGTCGATATATGTGCTTTAAAATCTTCGTTTGGGAAGCTGTTAGTCCTTGAACAATTTTTTTCTAGGATGCAGAAGCCCTTGTTTTAAAATGTCCCAGAAATTTTCTTCAAAATTCTTGTTAGGAAGCCGATACTCCTTGAACAAAATATTCTTAAAAATCAACGTTTAATTAACCGATAAATATTGTAAAAATCAATCTCAGGAGGGTCGATAGTTCTTGAAATAAGACTTTATCTAGGGGGCCTATAGTTCTTTTTTTTATTAAAAATCGACATTTAGTAAGCCAATAGTCCTTGAAAAACATTTTTAAAAATCCACGTTTAGACAGCCGATAAATAGAAATCCACTTTTAAGGAGCTGGTAGTCCTTGCAAAATTATATCCTTAAAATCCCATAGTCCTTTTAGGGAGCTGATAGTGCTTGAAAAAAACATTTTTCAAAACCCATGTTTAAGAAGCTCACCTTGAGCAATTATTTTTAAATATCCACGTTTAGGGAGATGTTGTTCCTGAAAATGTATTCTTAGCTAATAAAGAAAGACCAAAAGTCGGAAAGGGCCGACTGCATGATACCCTACACCACTATGGATATTTAGTAGAGCTACTCGTAACAAACGTTATATTGGGAAGTAATGTGAAGTAGATCATACCAACTACGAACCTTTTTTGAATGCGGTTTATGACTTTAGAGCATTTATAATTTGGAATCAGGAGGAACTAAGGCATGGGAGATATATTCTACTCAGAATCGATTTCCACTAAATTTGTAGATACTGGTGTCTGAACCAATTTTCACCAAAATCTATCCCATTTGAGCTTTTGATTCAAACGTGAGTAAACGTGAAATTGGATGAAGATACATATGACAGCTATATCCTAATCTAAAGCGATCTCTATAAAGTTAATCAGAGGGACTTAAATCACCAAACAATGTTACGCTACACTGCTCCAGAACATGGAATATTGGTGACTATTTATTTGACCAATAATCGGTTGGTGACTTTGGCACAACGTGAAATTCGTAGCAGATTTTCTGGCCGGCACAATAAAAGATGATGCCAGGCGTGTCAGACTCCGGAGTATCTGTTCTGCAGAGAATATTGCTGCTGCAGCCATGCGTCGTTGACATCGACCAGACGACGTGCCACGCGGGTAAAAGTCGACGTTCTTTACAGCGAATTTTGGTACAAGATTTGCAGATGTTTCCGTACAAAGTCCAGATGGTGCATCAGCTGTTTAGCTTCTGACCACCAATACGCTCAAGCCATCCTTAATCACGACCAAGAAGAAGATGATTTTCTATCTTATCGGGTACAGAAATGAGTAAAACTTCCCGGGAGCCTAATCTCCCGTTCTGACGATTTGCATTGGCCAGCAAGATCGCCAGATTGAACCGCTCCAGACTTCTTTTTGTGGGGCTTTTTGAAGGGACGGATTTATGTCAACAAGCCACAGACCCTTTTAGCTCTTAAAGACAATATCCGTCAAGAATATGAGGACCTATCGCCGGAAGTTTTGCCAAATTGATGGAAAATGTTACAAAAAAGTATCGGTCGGTTTTCCGACAGATCGCCAGATTGAACCGCTCCAGATTTCTTTTTGTGGGGTTTTTTGAAGGGGCGGATTTATATCAACAAGCCACAGACCCTTTCAGCTCTTAAAGACAATATCCGTCAAGAATATGAGGACCTATCGCCGGAAGTTTTGGCCAAAGTAATGGAAAATGTTACAAAAAAAAGTATCGGTCGGTTTTCCGACAAATGTATACCCTCAGCCAATGTTTGATTATTTAAAATATTTTGACTTCTGTAATGATTATTCAAATGTTTAATCCCTTTATGCAATGGGCCAATTTTGGCCATTTCGTATGGGATATGATACAAATATTGCGACGTGCTAGGTTGGACTGTGTTGTGTTTATTTAAATATTGGGATGTTCAAAATCTTCAATTGAATCAGATGCCAATTTTGCTTTTTATGAGCTACATGGATATTCAAAATCTTCACAACGGATCTTTTGTTAGTGGAAATAATGGGATGTGTGAAATATAAAAAGAACCTGATGGGGGAGGTACCAGAAAAAATGGTCCAATCTCTACCGTTTTTTTAACAGATCCTGTGTCGATAGAAATATTCGGATGTGGCAAATCAAAATGGAATCCGATGTTGTAATTATTTAAAAGTTTGACCCTTTGTGAAGGTGGTACCAGAAGGAGTGGATCGATATTGTCCATTTTCGCACCAGGTCTAGCACTGATGCAAATATTAGGATTTGAAAATTTGGAGCAAATTCGGATTAACCAACCATCTTAACAACAGATCTTGGGTTTATAAAAATATTGGGATGTGAAAGACAATCGGACTCATACATTACATTTTATAGGTGTTGTAATTATTCAAAATTTTGGCCCTTGTGGGGGAGGTACTTAATGGAGTGGACCTATAATATTGTCCATTTTCGCACCAGAAATAGCACTAATGCAAATATTAGGATTTGAACATTTGGAGCAAATTCGGATTAACCAACCATCTTAACAACAGATCTTGGGTTTATAAAAATATTGGGATGTGAAAGACAATCGGACTCATACATTACATTTTATAGGTGTTGTAATTATTCAAAATTTTGGCCCTTGTGGGGGAGGTACTTAATGGAGTGGACCTATAATATTGTCCATTTTCGCACCAGATCTAGCACTGATGCAAATATTAGGATTTGAACATTTGGAGCAAATTCGGATTAAGGGTTCTCTTTCTGGGCAAATTTTTTTTGAAAATCTCGAGCTATTGTTGTAATTATTCATAATTTTGGCCCTCTGTGGGGGAGGTACTTGATGGAGTGGACCTATATTGTCAATTTTTGCACCTGATCTAGCTTTAACGCAAATATTAGGATTTGCAAAGTTGGAGCAAAATCGGCTTACCATTTCTCTTTCTGTACAAAAAATAATTTTTTTTAAAATTTCGACCTTTTGTTGGGGAGGTACTAGAAGGAGTGGACCGATATTGCCCATCTCCGCTAGATCGACTCCAAATGTTCTGAAACGGATTTGGTCCAAGCACATTTTGACCTATCAAATTGTACATACCCTCTGTAGCCATATGGCTGAGGGTATAAAAACAGGGATAGATGGACGCATGTGTATACAACGACTCAGAGTGTGATTCTAATTCGTTTCCTTCTGCATGATACAAACAAATGCACATAGACATAATACCCTGTACCACTGTTTGACGCAGGCTATAAAAATTCAACTCGAAGAAGATAAAAGAGATAAGGATAAGAACTCTATGGAGATAAAACCCACGTTTCTAGGGATCTTATAGCCCTCAAAATACATTATTCAAAGTCCACCTTTAAGGAGCTAAAATTTCTTGCAAAAGACATAAAGATGGATAAGAAACCAATTTATATTCTATTAAATTCCACTTACAATCCATAAACCTCCTTTGTTTCGGCATTGAATTGTAACCAAGAATTCGATTTCAGCTCCCGGCCCTCTTTATCGGTTAATTCCAAACGTAAATTGGTCATATCCTCGGCATCATAGAAGGTATCTTCGGGAATGGCAAATTTGAAGGATTTGCCCGAAGTGACAGCCAATTTTTGGAGACGTGATTTAATCATGGGCGGTGTGTTCTCGACTATGGGTTCAATATCCTCAGGGATAGCCGATGTGGTTGAGGGCAATTCTGGGGTAGTTGAGAGTGATGGTGAAGATGACGTTTGTGTGGTCGTTTGACTGGGTGGATTTGTCGAGGAGGCAAAGAAAATTGAATCTTCAGCGGGTGTTGTTGAAGAGGCCTACAAAATGAGAAAATTTGCCGATTATTTTGAAATTTTAAAAATATTTTAACACAAAACTCACCGATTTACTTGAGCTCAACTCCTGTTCCTCCTCCGGTTTCAAAGTGGTATCATAATAAACATCCTAGAGTTGGGAATGAAAAAAAAAAAAAATTGAAATATATTAATAAGAAATTGCCTGTTCAATTGCTGTTTCGGAATTCAAGAGATCATGCTTAAAAATTGAGAAAAAAATTCGTATTCAATTCAATGCTGAAAATACTGTAATAAAAAAGAGATTATTTGCATAGAATTCGGGGCTGGGCTGGGCTCAGGGGGGAAAGAATATTTGGTAGTTCGTTTGGTGGTTGGAAAACAGTGATACAAGTTTTAAAGAGAGAAAACAAATAGGTGGGGTGAGTTCGATTTGTTTTGAGTTAGGAAAAATAAGCATGCACAAATTAGCCAACACATATACCCATTTAATAAATATTATTACAAAAGATTTTTTGTTTTTGATTTTCTTTTTTACAAATAACAGACAAAAAACAAAAACATTTGCAAACAACCAAAATAACAAAAAGTTATGATTACCAAGTGTAGAGTGCAAAACAAAATTTTACGAAAATTAGAAAAAAAAGTTTTACCAAAACGAAAAATATGTAAAAATATAAAAAATTATTAGAAAACAATATTTTTTAAAGCAGTTTTCATTTACACCATTTCCAAGGGGAATTACTTTATACTTTCATTATATTATTTTTTGTTTTGATTTTTTCGACCTTTCTTCTGTATTTATGACAATTTTGAGTTTTGGCAAAAATTTCCGTTTTATTTTATTTTTCGATGAATTTTAATAAAATAATCAAAATGTAACAAATAAAATTTTATTTGATTTTAATTCTGTAACTCATTTGTAAAGATTGGAATATTTTTCAAACCTATATTTCATAATTTAAAATAAATATTATTATACCATACCACCATTAGTATTGAGGGTATATTAAGTTTGTCATTTCGTTTGTAACACCTCGAAATATACATTTTAGACCCCACAAAGTATATATATTCTTGATCAATATAAAAGTCTATGTCGATTAAGGGATATCCGCCCACCTGTCCGTCTGTTAAAATTACTCTAGCTTTCGAACGATATGAAGTAGGTTGATAAAATTTTACTCAAATGTGTATTATTTCTGCAGGACTTTTGGTATTGAAAATGGGTGATGTAGGTCCTCCTCCTCCATATAATAGTACCACCCTTTTTTCGTTATTTCGGTGATTTAGGCGACATTATTCACCGGAAATGTTTCAAATTTGGTATTAGAAGTTCGTAATGGGTACCACCACCTATGTCAGAAAATTGTCTGTGCAGGTCCACGTCTTCGTATAGCCCCCATATAAAGTGACCTCCCTTTTTCGGTATTTTGGTGATTTAAGCGACATTATTCACAATAATTATTTCAAATTTGGTATTTGAAGTTCGTAATGGGTACTACAGCCTATGATAGAAAATTGTCTGTGCAGGTCCACGGTTTCGTATAGCCCCATATAACGGTACCTCCCGATATTCGGTATTTTGATGTTTTTAGCGACATTATTCACCGGAATTGCTTCAAATTTTCTATTTGAATTTCGTAATGGATGCTACAGCCTATGACAGAAAATTGTTTGTGTAAGTCCACGTCTTCATATAACAACGGCACCTCCCGATTTTCGGAATTTTGATGATTTTAGCTACATTATTCACCGAATTTTTTATTCAAGTTTCGCATTTGAATATTGTAATGGTTTATGACAAAAGTTGCCTATGCAGGTCCACGTCGTCGTGTACACCCTAATATAAGGGCTACATTCGGTATTTTTAAGAATTTAACAGAATTTTAAACGGATTTTATTTTTTTGAAAATTGTCAAATCGTTCCAAATGGTGGTTGGTATTCAAAAATTCCTATGCAGGTCCACGTCGTCGGTTAGACGCTAATATAACGGCTATATTCGGTATTTTTAAGATTTTAACAGAATTTTTAACGGATTTTATTATTTTTTTTTTTTTTTAAATTTGCCAAAATTGTTCCAAATGGTAGAGGGTATTCAAAAATCGGTCCGGTCGAACTTACAGCTTTTTTACTTGTTTTTACATTTGTCTTACGGTTTTAAATATTGCGATTTTCTGTTGATATTTTCAAATACATTTGGAAATGGTGTATCATATTTAAAAACTAAAATTAAAAAAAAAAAAAAACGTTTGGTAAAATTCTTTGTTTTCATTTCAAAATGTTTGTCCAAAACAAAAACATGCGCTGGCATGCCTTTTAATTATTTGATCTGGTTGTAGTGGTAGTAGTTCTGGTTCATAGGATAATTATGATCGATATCAAGTTACGAGCATTTCCAAAAAAGAAAAGTTTTGTTTTTGGTTGTTTTTCCAAATAAACGGTCTTAGGAGTAGGTGGTACCAGTACTTTCTTTTTAATAGCTTTCAAAATATTTATTTATTTATGCGATTCTATTGGTCTGGACACATTCAATTTAAATAAGCCATAAAAAATTGTGCCATTCTCATGATATGTTGTTGCGTTTATTTTCATAAAAAAATTTACTTTTTTTACTTGGGTGAAGGTTTTTTTTTTTTTTTTGGAAAAAAGTTATGAAAATTTCACCTTTTTGCCAGTAAAGACGACGACGTTGTTACTGTTATTTTCCAACTCATGGCGTTGTTCGTTAGTGTCGGTAGATGGTGTTGTGGTGGTCGTGCTAATGAAGATGGGTTTGATGGTGATTGTAGTTGTTGTTGTTGGTGTACTTAATGTTGTTGTTGGCGATGGAGGTGTTGTTGTTGTTAGTAAATTACTGTTGTAGTAAGGATGCAATGTAAATTGTTGTCTATTATCCTTATTTTCATAATCGCCGGCATACGAAGATACAGTTTGTGTGGTCACCGCTCCCCTGGAGTGATCCAATTCGGCAGCCAGATGGTGACCCATATGTGAGACATGTTGACGTGATTTATTTGCCGTTAAGCTATTAAATTGTTCCATCAAACCAAAATGTTTGGCCAGTTCTTCGGCAACATCTTCATTGATGTCGATGTCCTCATCTTCATCGTCGCTATCCTCGTCGTCTTCGTCGTCATCCAGATCGTCGTCATCGTATTTATTGACATCGACTTTAATCATTTTGTTGCTCTATTTTTGTTTGCAATGTCGGAGCATCATTGTCGTAATAGAGAAAACATAAAAATTTGTTGGCAAAGTTGTTGTTTTTGTTCATATTTTTTTTTAAATTAAATTAAACATTAATTTTTTTGTTTTTGATTTGTCACACAATTTAAATTGAAAACCATTTGCGAAAAATTATTTGAATTAAGGTACCATGGCAAAAGAATTGCGTAGTAAAATGTCAAAATCGAGATGAGAAGAGGGGGGAAAACAAAAATTGAGAAAAACATAATAAAATTTGTATTTATTTATTTGTATTTATGTACATATATACAAGATATAGAGAAGATGAGGGAAGTATAGAACTTCAATAAAACTCGTCGACGTTTAAAATTTTTCTTATATTCTGAAAGCGTTTTACAAAACCTCCAAAGATTGAAAACTTTTGTAGAGTCTCCTGTTAGTAGAATACTCTTTAAGGTAGGTTTTATGGTAGTTTTTTCATAGGGAACTAAATTTCGGGGATCTCCTAAATATTTATGTCCTTCTTCTGAAGATAAAAGATTGAATAAGAATCCCCAGGGGCATTCTACAGATTGAACATCGATCAGAGGACTTCTTGGCGCCTTAAAGGCTCATATAGCAAGAAAAATGCTTTTCATACATTTCCTTCAGATAGACGAATGCAGTACTTTCAGCAGTACCTCTGTGACTTGATATCCCTCAGAGGCCTTCAACAGATGGAAGAGCCTTCAAAGGCATTTTACAGTAAGAAAAATGCTTTTCTTAGATCTCCTTCAGATGGATGTCCTCCAAAGAAAAAAATCAATGCTTTCAGTATACCTCTTTTGGTTGATATCTTTCTGAGGTCTTCAACAGATGAAAGACTCTTCAAAGGCATTCTCCAGACAGATAATCATCAGAGGACTTTAAAAAAAAATGCCGTCTGCGAGCCTATAAGATCTAAAGAGAGAAGGAAGGCATTTCATAGGACTCTTACATGTCTTATATAGAGAGAAACCGTTTTCAGAGATTCTATAGAGAGAAGACTTTTCACCGGTCTTCTATAGGTATTCTATGAGAAGAAGGCTGGTAGGGGTTTTCTACCGTTTTTTTTTTCACAGGTTTTTTACGAAGAGAAGACCTTTCATGGGCCCTCATTGAAGGGAACCCCTTTTAAATGTCTTCATTAAAGAAAGAAAGAGAGAGAACTTTTAACTTATTTTGATTGCAAAAAAAGACCTTTTAAAGCTCTTTTGCATATATGTATAATAGCTGTTCCAGGTCACCCATAGGGATATGATCTTTTACGTCTTGAGCGAGGTATCCAGTGTTGAGGCCAGAGGTAAGGATATTTCAACATTTTATTTGGAAAAGTAATTTGCGCCATATTTATTGAAGAGGAAATCTGTGACTTTTTGCAAGACTTCTATGGCGAGGAGAGCTTCTGTAGCTATTCTATGCAATCCTCTATGGATAGAAGACCTAACTTGATGTTCTATGGAGAGTAGAGCAACCCAAATTATAACCTGTCACGATTAAGAAATTAATTTTTTAAGCTCGCTAGGAAAACTTTCTGTCAGTGGTACCATTTTTCAGGACTATGTAGTTGATGCTACCATCAAGTCTGAATCAGAAATTTTGAAAACCTGCTCCTATTGTCTTTTAATTACATATCAATTCCAATTTTAAACATTTTCTCAGTGTATAGCAAAACTGTTATACTGTTATAAACTGTTATACACGAAAAATTGTCGAGTTTTTCAGTTTAGTTGAACATTTTTCTTAATAAAAATGGTTTTAATCGAATCAGAAACCAAACCGTTATACTGTTATAAAATGTTATACACACAATGTATCGAAATTTAACCAACTGGCAAATTCTACCAGTCAATGAATTGATTGCATTATACAAAAGTTTTTTACAGTTTTTTTTCACAGGTTTTTTACGAAGAGAAGACCTTTCATGGGCCCTCATTGAAGGGAACCCCTTTTAAATGTCTTCATTAAAGAAAGAGAGAGAGAGAACTTTTAACTTATTTTAATTGCAAAAAAAGACCTTTTAAAGCTCTTTTGCATATATAATAGCTGTTCCAGGTCACCCATAGGGATATGACCTTTTACGTCTTGAGCGAGGTATCCAGTGTTGAGGCCAGAGGTAAGGATATTTCAACATTTTATTTGGAAAAGTAATTTGCGCCATATTTATTGAAGAGGAAATCTGTGACTTTTTGCAAGACTTCTATGGCGAGGAGAGCTTCTGTAGCTATTCTATGCAATCCTCTATGGATAGAAGACCTAACTTGATGTTCTATGGAGAGTAGAGCAACCCAAATTATAACCTGTCACGATTAAGAAATTAATTTTTTAAGCTCGCTAGGAAAACTTTCTGTCAGTGGTACCATTTTTCAGGACTATGTAGTTGATGCTACCATCAAGTCTGAATCAGAAATTTTGAAAACCTGCTCCTATTGTCTTTTAATTACATATCAATTCCAATTTTAAACATTTTCTCAGTGTATAGCAAAACTGTTATACTGTTATAAACTGTTATACACGAAAAATTGTCGAGTTTTTCAGTTTAGTTGAACATTTTTCTTAATAAAAATGGTTTTAATCGAATCAGAAACCAAACCGTTATACTGTTATAAAATGTTATACACACAATGTATCGAAATTTAACCAACTGGCAAATTCTACCAGTCAATGAATTGATAGTATTATACAAAAGTTTCACTTTTAAAAAGTTTCATACCGTATAACAAAATGTTATACTATTACAAACTGTTATACACAAAAAATTTACAAATTGCTAAATTTTTTAGCAGTACCGTCAATAATTACTGTCTTAAGCGATCGAAACTTAAGCATTTATACTGTAATAAACTGTTATACAAACATTATTGCACATCTTAATCGAGATTTGAAAAGTTCTGACAAAAAAATGTATTTATACAGGTATACGTTCAAAATGCGAAACTGTTATATAAAGATTTTCTCACATTTTAGGGGATTCTAACAGTTTTATAACTAAAATAGGTTTGTTGTAGTCTAATCCGCAAAACACTACATTTTTTAAACTGTTATACACAAAATTATTTTAATTTCCCCCTTAAAAAATTGTGTGTTTGTTGTTCTCACTAATGACAAAAACATACAAAAGATATGTATGAACACACACACACACAATAAAGAGTTGGGTTATTAAGAGATGAGAAAAGAGGATAAATACAAAACACATTTAGAAAAAAGATTTTTAAAAGAAAGAAAAAAAAGAACTGTTTTCAATTAAAAAATTGAACGAAACAGACAAACACACGCACACAAGTAAAGGTAGGTAGTTGTTATAAGACAAAACAAAACAGAAATGGGGAACAATACGAATCGGAAAACCCATAGAAAACTAACTATTATTCACAACATAGAGAAGAAAGAAAAACAATTCAAAAGAAGGAGAGAAAAAAAAATTTAAGATTTTTTTTGTTGGTATTTTGGCTTGTTGGAATGGTTGGTGGGTTGTTTTGTATCTTTCCTAAGGACATGGTTTTGAGAACTGAGATACATTGTAGCTTTAAAGATAAGTCACCAGGTTTTGTCCAGTGTTTGGTTTAAGAAAAAAAAAAAAAAAACTTAAAATAGAAACAATTCGAAAAACCCCAATGAAAAATTAAAGGCTTATTGTAGGAACTTGAGAAAAAATCTGTTCGAAATTTTGGCTTTGGTTCAATTAAGGTCAGGCAATTGTGTTCTAAATCTCGGCTTTGGTTTGTATGGCGTTTCAAAAGTGAATTTGAAAGAATTGTTTTAAGTTATTTAATTAAAACTAGTAAAAAGACATTAAGTTCCTCCAAGCCGAACTTCTAGTACCCTCCACCATTGGGTAAAGAAAACATTTTTATGAAAAACTATTTGGATTCAAATCTGTTCTACTTGAAACTACAAATTCCAGTAAGATCGGTACGAGAATGGTTGGAGCCGTTATACGGGGGCCATACTAAAACGGGAGTCTACAGGGTGAGATGAAAAGACTGCTCTCATTTCTAAGCCACTCGTCCGACAGCTGTTAAAATTATTCCAGTGACATTTCATTATATTGTTTACAAGCGTACAAGAGCATTTTGGTGAGAATTTTCCAGAAAAAAAGTTATTCGTGATGGAATTCAAGCGTGATAGTGTGATTTCTTTCTATTTGGCTGGAAAACCACAAGTGACTATCGTTAGAGCACTCCAGCTTTTAAATGTGAATAATTCTTCTGTGTCTCGTACCATCGCTCGTTACCATGATACTGGTGGCGTAGCTCGACGTCAAGGAAGTGGACGAAAGAAAACAGCAACATCAGCAGAAATGGTTCGAAAAGTAAAGAAGCGACTTGATCGAAACCGGCGTCGCAGTGGCCGAAAAAATGCTCGTGAGCTGAACATTGCAATATGTTTATGTATTTCATTCGGCAAATATTGAAAAATGAGCTCGGGGTTAAGCCACTGAAATTCCAAAAATCGCAAGAACTTACACCGCAGAAAGAAAATAGACTCAAAAGAGCTAGAGAGTTGCTTCGCTTGCCCGAAGGTGGTGAACTGCCGAATTTGGTTTTCTCCGTTGAGATAACATTCCTTATCCAGTAAAAAATCAAAATGATCGTTTTTACTTGCCAAAGAGGACAGCGGAAAATGTACATCTTCGGTTGGCCACCAAAACTCAAGCGCCGGCCATGGTGATGGTGTGGGCCGCTATAACAGCCGATGGTCGCTCTCCGCTCGTATTAATCGACCATGGAATCAGAGTAAATGTCGAATAAATGTATGTATGTGTATTAAAGCCTTGGGCACGCAAACATTTTAGACGCAGAACTTGGGCATTTCCACAGGACACAGCACTCAGCACGCGCCACCCAAAAATGGTTACAAAATGAGGTTCCTCGCTTCATTTCCGGCGCACAATGGTCACCAAAATTTACGGATACCACTCCGTTGGACTATTGTGTCTGGAGTATTTTGGAAAGAAAGGTTGGCACTAAAAAATACCAAGGTGTCGATCACCTTAAGCAAGCGCTTCGCCGGGAATGGGCCAAAATACCGCAGAGCAACATTCGGGCAGCGTGTGACGGTTTTAATTGGCCGTTTGAAGGCCATAATTCGTGCCAAAGGTGACCAAATTCAAACAAATATGTGCACTATAGAAAAACGTGGACCTAGATATTCAATGTTCTGCCACTGGAGCTAGAACCCACGACTATCTACAAATCCGTTCAAAAATGCAGAAAAGATCATCAAAATACGGAATATCGGGAGATACCCTTATATGGAGACTATACGAAAACGTGAACTTATATGTACACTGTTCCGCCACTAGAACAAGAACCCATAACGAACTATAAATACCAATTTTTAGACAAATTGGTGGAAATATGTGGCTAAAACTATCAAGATATCGAATATCGGGAGGTACGTGAACCAATAGATCTCATTTTCAATACCAACCATCCTAGACACAATGCAAACTACTGTGCCAAATTTTAAAGCTCTATGTCTTAATGGGGTCTATGACGTTTGTAACAGAATGACAAATTTAATATACCCTCCTTTCCAAATTGGAGGGTATAAAAATTGCCTATAGAATTGGGGTTATTTTTTCGATTTCACTTTCATTGCGTCATACAAAAACCAACAGGTCCTAAGAAAATGTTCGAAACATTGGTTTTGAAATGAACTAAGTTGAATTTCGGATACATCTTCCTTTTTTGTCTTATACAGTCCGTCCTTACAATAAGCCTTTATAAGAATAACTCCTTAACAGATCACAGGAGAACGAAACCAACATGGAAAACAGAATAAGAAAACAACAAAATAACATTGGTAGGTATGTAAAAGCCAAAAAAGAAGGCGAAGAAAAATATAAGAGTTAATACAAATAGTTAAACAAATCACAGCAAAAAATGTTGAAAATTGATTTTCTAACAGGTTTCGAAAATAATTGTTTCGTTTCGGTTCAGTATTTTTTGGTTGTAGTAGTTGTTGTTGTAGTTGATGTGTTGATACAGTACAAAACAAGACACACTTTACCTTATTCGGCTGTTTAACGGATATATTGCCTATTGTTGTGGTTGTTGGATTCGTTGTTGTACTACCACCGGTGGTTGTTGCAGCCGATGATGATGAGGAGGAGAAGGCGGAAGTGTCATTAGGTGGTGGAATATCGTTCGAGGCTATTGTGATTGTCTGGGTTGTTGAATCGAATAGAATAACGGGCGGCGGCGGTGTCATTAGGGTGGTGGTTAACGATGTGGTGGAGGTGAGTTCACCGCCACCATGATTGTGTTGATGATGTTCAGCATTTTGCTGATGATGATTATGGCGATGATGTGTTAGATCTAAATTATTTTCAGCTTGATTGTCATGATTGTGATTGTTGTTGGTGTTGCTGATGCTTGAGGTGGGTGAACGTGGGCTGGTCACACCTTCTTCCTGATTTCCATACACATTGGTCGATGTTTGAGGTGTTAGGGAACCCATGACTTCAGCCACACTGAATTCATTATCTTCCTCCCGGGGATTTTCATAAATGTTATTCAATTCAATATTTTCCGACTTTTCTGATTCGGGTTGCAACACCTGTTTGAGCAGCACATCTTCCGGTTGCTCGACCACAATTTCGGGTATATCTTCAATGTGTTTGGTATTCTCAATGGTCTTCGTTATGACCGATTCCAGTTTGGAAACACTTTCATCAATCTCCTCATCATCGATGGTGATTTTTTTCATTTCTTTATTTTCGTTAATGTTATTATCCGTGGTTTCGGAGTCGGTCTGTTTAAGGGCTGTGATGTCATCACGATTCGATGTTCCAGCCACTTCTAATGTGTTCGATGTTAATTCCGGCTTTTTTATTTAAATTTTCAAAATTTCGGTTTTCGTTTCGAACAGTTATCACAAGACAAATTACAAGAGACAAATTGAGAGAGAGAGGGTGAGAGAGACAATTACATTGTTGTGATGATTGTATGAATGTGATGTAGACGTGATTGGTTGGTTGGTTGGTGTTGTTGTTGTCATTTTGGCACACAGTGATGTTGTTGTGTTGGTGATACAAGACCCCAGTGATGGTTAAATGATTTTCATAATAAAAACATGTTGGTGTGTTGTAAAAATAAAAATGGTGCAAAATTATGATAAGTGTAAGTGTTATATAAGTATGTATGTATATGTTAAAAGTGTTATACAAATAAATATAAATCAAAAAATTCAGTTCAGTTTTTTAATACATTTTTATTAAATTTTTTTATACATTTTGTATTTGTTATTATTTTTTTGTTTGAAGATCATTAGTTGTTGAAAATGTTAAATGAAAGAACAAAACAAGATAAGTTGAAGAAAGAAGACGAAAAAAGAGAAAGAGACCAAGAAGAATGAAACAACATTTGGTATTAATAGACAATAGTTATCGGTCATCATCAACATTATCATCATTAATTGTTGGAGAGAGCAAATTCACAAAAAGGGAGAATTTCAAATATTTGGCAATTGAAGGTAAATTTAAGGATACATTGAGATTGTCGATAATTTTATACCTTCTCTAATGGGAAAATTAATGGGAAACATTTGAAATGAATTCTTCTTCGTACCTTTACATTTTATTGCATACCTTGCAGTTTTTAAACTTAACTTGCATTACTATAAACGTTTAAAGGCCTCGTATTTTCAAGGGGGTTCATATTCAGGCCCTCTTCCCATCAAAGACCTTTTAAATTACATCTGCTTATAGATTATACTTTTTAAGTCCCCCTTTGTCTTCAGAGGGCCCTCGGTCTTAAGCAAGTCTTTGAAAAGTCCTCTATCTTCAAAAGTAATTCAAAATAATACCTTTACAAGTTCTTCTTCCTAAAGAAGAGCTTGAAAATGTCTTCTTCTTCTTTTCTTGAAAAATGTATATTGTTTTTAGAATTTTTTAAAAAGAGAACTTCAGAAGTTCTTCCAGAAAATCAAACGTAGAGTTTTATTATTTTTCAAAGGACTTCCAAAGAAAAATGTAGATTAAAAGAATATCAAAACACTTTGAGTATTTTTAATGGCCTTTTATGGAATACCTTTCTCAGGACTTTTAATGCTCGGTTACCATTTATAATTTTTATGGGACGTGGATATTAAGGACTTTTGGTTTTGGGTTTTTTGTTTTAATTATTTTTAAAGGGATTTTAGGTCGTTTAATTGTGGAATAAAGTCTATAAAAGTCCTCGAAAAAGATCTAAAAAGGTTTTTTCTCTACAGAAAACCCCTAAAAGGACTTCTGTTCACAAAACGTTCCAATAATTATTGTGTTTGAAAAAGGTCTATCAAAGATCCTCTGTCTACAGAAGACGTTCACAAATCCTTCTGTATAAAATAATAGAAGCTCTTCCGTTTAGGAAATGTTTTTCAAAGGATTTTCTTTCCGAATTTCCGAAAAAGAAGTGGATTTTTAAAAATGTTCAAAAAATTTTCAGAATTTTTAAATGCACTTTTAAGGAATGTTTTTCCAGGAATTTAAACCTCTTAGACATTTAAACGTGGATGTTAAGGTCTTTAAGTCCTATTAATGTGGGATTTTTTAATATTTTTTTAAAGGGTTTCCGGTTTTGTAATTATAGAATTTTCACTATAGGAAATCTCCAAAAGACTTCTGTCCACAAAACGTTTCAAAATATATCTTGTGTTTGAAAAAGATCTACCAAAGATCATTTATATAGAGAAGAGCTCCACAAATTCTTCTGTATATAGAATACCTTCCAAAGGCCTGCTGTCTCTAAAATAACTTTAGAAGGTCCTCCGTTTAAGAAATCAAAATCAAAGGATTGGATTTTAAACGGTTCTCCAAAAAAGTGGATATTTAATAATTTTTAAAAGATTTTCAGAATTTCGTTTAAGGACTTTAGACCTTTTTATGGAACTTTTAGACTTTTAAAAGAGGATATTATGGGCTTTCGGTCCTATTAATGTGGGGTGGTTTCAATATTGTTTGTAAGGACTTTTTGTCCTTTAACTGTGCACTTTTAAGGAATTTTAGAGTATATATTTTTAAGCCCCATTGGTCTGTCAGAGATTTTCTTTCAACAGGAGACCTCAGAAATTCGTCGGTCTATAGAATATCTCCAAAAAGTCTGGTGTCTATGAAAGAACTTTAGATTGTCTTCATTAAGGAATATTTCTCAAAGGTCATTTAGGACTTCCCATCTTTTATTTGTGGGATTTTAAGAATTATATTTTACATAATATAATTCTGAATATAACAGACCTTCAGAGAAAGTCTTCTAAATGTAGTCTGTCAATAAAAGAGCTTCGAAAGGTCTTCTGTCTATAGAACACTTCCAAAATGATATTTTGTGTCTGAAAAAGAACTTCAAAAGATCTGCCCATTAAATACTTTATTTTTGCTCTCAAAAGCAATGTTTGCCTATAGAATAGCTTCAAAATCTGCTGTTCATAATCTTCACAAAGTCTTCTGTTAACAGGAGACCTTCAAAACTTTTTCTGTCTGCAGAAGACCTCTAAAACTTTTTATTTCGTCAGAAAATGTTCGAATGAGTTTCTGTCTGTAGAAGACCTTTGAAGTCTTCTGTCTATAGAAGATCATAAAAATGCTTTCATCTGTACAGAGGGGTTCGCTGTTTTAAAGAGTTTAAAAAGGCCATCTGTCCAAAGAAGTCATTTAAAAGGACTTCAATTTGTTAAAAATTATTTTTTTTTTATAGAAGATCTTCAAGTGGTCATCTTCTTAAAAAAAGAAAAGGAGAGAAAGTCTTTCTATTGAGGACATTACATGGTCTGCTGTTTTGAGGGTCTCTTACGTCCCTTATAAAATCTAATATAGCGGAATGCATAACAATTCTTATATCGAAACACTGTAGAATATTTTCAAAAATTTGAAGGCCATTTTATAGATGACCTTCAAATCGTCTTCTTTTTTATATAAAACATATTAACGAAATACTATCTAGAAGACATATGGTCTACTGATTTTAAGGGTCTTTTAAATCTAATATTGTGTGAAGGGTATAAAACTATTTTCATAAATTTAAATACATTGAAATCCCTTTTTGTGAACTGCAGGACAATTTTTTCAAGGATTAATATATATTTTTTTATTTTTTGTTTAACCAAAAAATGTTAATAACAGAAATGAAATATACAAAAGTGCAATTTGTTTTAATATATATATATATATAAATTCTTAATATAGGGTATTCAAATAGATATGTATGTATTTATATAGGAATACAAAACCAATTCAATCAAATTTCAATAAATGTTATGTTATATAGAGATTACGAAAACATATTTCATTATTTGAAAAACAATAACATTTAGATTTTTGAATCAATTTTCTGTTTTTTTTTTTATAATTATTTTTTTAAATTTTGTAAAAAAATTGTAATGTTTAATATTTGAAAGGGAATAAAATAAATAAATCATAATTGTAACAACCAATTTCGTTTGGAAAGAATGGATATTGAAAACTTAATTCACTATTACATACCTCATCGTCTTCATCTTCTTCCACCTTATTGTTGTTGTTGTTATCGTTGGCAGCATAGCTGTTTTGACTTGTGGTGGTCGTGGAGGAAGAGCTGTCCACAGCATTGTGCTGAGTTTCATCACTGAAATATATGAGGAACGGTGTTCATAAGTATTGTGACAAAAAACAAGAGTATCTCCACTTACATTGTATCATCTCCATCATAGTCGTAGTCCTCATATTCATCATCATCCTCAGCGTCACCGGAACCTTCGACTTGACGACGTTTCCGAGTGGCATTTTTGTAATGTTTACGCCAGATGAGCCACCAACCGAATTTCTCACCGGTAATATTATCGAGAGCTCCCTCTTTAAATTGTTGTTCAATTTGCTTGACAATCGGTTCGGTTATGGTAAAGTAGGTGGAACGGCAGCCAATCTGGAAGGTACAAGGAATTTTTATTAATAGCAAGGACTTCAATAAAATAGCAACATATATGTTATAGATTTTGAAAATATTTTTAAGAATCACAAGGGCTGTGAACATGGTCTTTGAAGAATTCGATTTAAGTATTAAACGAGCAAACGAATTGGATTTTTAAGAATATTTTCACAAGGATCAAAAGACCACAGAAGGACGATTTTTCTAAAGCAAAAATTTCATGAATTTTGAACACATTTTTCGAAGCGAAATGGATTCTTTGTTAAAAAAATATTTGAAGGAACTTTTTGACTAAAAAATTGTACATTTTTAAAATTATTTTTTATACCTCCAACATTCTATGGAGGGTTTATTAGTTTTGTCACTACGTTCGTAACTCCACGAAATATTCATAATAGACTCTACAAAGTATACAGGTGGGACTTCAGACTGCTGTCATTTTTAAGCCACTCGTCGCACAGCTCTTAAAATTATTCCAGTGATAGCTCATTGTAGTGTTTACAAGCGTACAAAAGCATTTTGGTAAGAATTTTCCAGAAAAAAGTTATTCGCGATGGAATTCAAGCGTGAGAGTGTGATTTCTTTATATTTGGCGGGAAAACCACAAGTGCCTATCGTTAGAGCACTCCAGCATTTAAGTGTGAACAAATCTCTTATGCCTCGTGCCATCGCTCATTGCCGTGATACGGGTAGCGTAGCCCGACGTCAAGGAAGTGGACGGAAGAAAACAGCGTCGCAGTGGTAAGCTGAACATATCGTGAGCTGAACATATCGCAATATTCCATTCGGCAAATATTGAAAAATGAGCTCGCGGTAAAGCCATTAAAATTCCAAAAAGTGCAAGAACTTACGCCGCAACGGAAAGAAAATAGACTCAAAAGAGTTAAAGAGTTGCTTCGTATGGTCGAAAGTGGTGATGTGCCGAATTTGATTTTCTCCGTTTCCGATGATAAAACATTCGATGTCCAGCAGTTTGTAAACAAACAAAATGATCGTGTTTACTTGCCAAAAAGGTCAGCTGAAAATGTGCACCTTCGGTTAGCTACCAGAACTCAAGCGCCGGCCATGATGATGGTGTGGGCCGCCATAACTGCCGATGGTCGCTCTTCGTTCGGCCGTGGCATCAGAATAAATACCGAATATTATCACGAAAATATTCTGGAGAGTGTATTTAAGTCATGGGCAAACATTTTGGCCGCAGACCTTGGACATTCCAACAGGACTCAGTACGCACCACCCAAGAATGGTTACAAAATGAGGTTCCTCGCTTCATTTCCAGCGCACAATGGCCACCAAAATCTCCGGATACCAATCCGTTGGACTATTGGAGTATCTGCAGTATTTTGGAAAGCAAGGTTGACACTAAAAATATCAAAGTGTCGATCACCTCAAGTAAGCGCTTTGACGGGAATGGGCCAAAATACCGCAGAGCAATATTTGGGTAGCGTGTGACGTTTGAAGACCACAATTCGTGTCAAAGGTGATCAATTCGATCAAATCGAAACATATTCTAAAATTTGATACTATTTCCGAAATTTTTGCTTTCATTCAATAAAATTTAAGAAAATGTAAAAATTATGGCGTTTGACTTTGTTGCAGTTTTTTTATCTCACCCTGTTTATCATATTTATGTATGTCCGATAAGAAATGGAAAATATTGAGCCATTTCTTTGGAACCTATTCCATAGAGGGAAAATTTTTTGAAAAATCGTAACTTAAGTCAAAATATAATTGTCTGAGGGCATACATCTGTCAGCAAAACCGACTAATACTTTTTAACTTGTTTGTAATTATATTTTTAAAGTATCTGCAGACATCTCGTTTTTTATTTAGAATTTAAGGCTTTAGAGGATTATTTTTTAAGAAAAAAAAAAAAAAAAAGTATTTTAGATTTTTTGGGATTTTTGTTTTGAACATTCAGACCTTTGAACTTTTTAGTTTTGAAACAGGATTAACCTTGAACTTCAACCATGTTAATTTCATTTTGAAATTCTACAAGCAGTTAGGAACAAGAAATGATTTTTTGCCAAGTACATCCTGTTCCCCTCCTTTTTTCATCCGTTCTACTATTGTTTGGGTAATAGAAGTGACTGTAAAATTTTATTTGATTAATAACTTCCTGTTTAAAGAGTTTCCTCTTTCCTCTAGTACCAACCAATACAATGACTCTCCATCATATTGGACGATTCTCAAGTCCTTTTACTGCACGACAGATGAATGGCAAAAAGGGAGAACAAAAAAAAAAAAAAAAACAACACTCCTCATGAACCTTTCAATGTAAATTCAACAAAAACACAAATGTCTAAGTATAGGTGTGTCTTTGTGTGAGTGAGTGTGACGACGGTCCATTGTGCCAATGTTGGTATATACTTACGATAAAATCAACACGTCCCAGTTTGCGATTATTATTAGTATGGCACTTATTGTTTCCCTTCTTCACAGATTCCTTTTGCATTTCGAATAGATCATGTTTGGTGACACTTTCCATTGTGATAAATTCCTGGAAGCCAAAAAAAAAAAGAGTGAGGGTATTATTTTATTTGTGTTTGAGGATATGGGTTGTTGTTGTTGTTGTTCGGGATTTCAACGTACCTTTGGTATGGCAAAGAATTTGGATAGTTTGTCCAAAACTTTAGAGCGGCGGCTCTCGTTCAGGTCATGCCAATTATAATTCTGCAGCACGAGCGACAAGACCAGCTCATTATCGCCATAACGACAGTGTGACAATTCCACAGCATAGGGGTCCTGGTGTTGATGGTGATGATGTGACGATGACGACGACGACGATGATGATGACATAGATTTGTGTTGATGATGATTATGATGTGAGCTGGCGGCGTTGGCGTGATGATGGTGATGACCTTCAATTAATGTGGGTTCATCTTTGGGTTCGATTAAAGGAATCTAAAAATCAAACAGAAAAATAAAGACATTTGTTAAAATGTTGGCGGCAGTAATAAAATACGAAATACTCAAAAACATGTTTAATGATGGCTTTCAACCCTCCTGCATAAATTTTTGTATTTTTTTTTTCATTTTTGAGAAAATGATTAATGTTTCCTCTTTGGCGGCACGCTGGCATTTGGAAATGTTGAAGTGGTAATTTAAAAAAAAAATGAAACATTTCAGTTTTGCCTTTTAATTGTTTGTATAATTGTAGAAAAATGTATCTAATTATACATAAAGTTTGTCTGCCCAAGAGTCTGCCTACAAGCCGGCTGGCTGTCTAATTTCCCCTCCTACTCAGGGTCCTCCATTCACAAAGCAAAAAAAAAAAAAAAAAAAACATGAATTCGTTTTAAAAATAACACAAAAAAGTCTATTTGTTTACTTTTGGAATGATAAACAACCCCTTTCTTTCCAGACCTCTATCTCAAAATGATTAATAGCCCAGTTCTGCATTCAAATTATATTTTATGGTTCATCAAGATCACCATTCAATGTTCTGGTATGTGGTTGTACGTACATCCATTCTCCCCAATTTTTTGTTATTCAAAATGGTATTCCACAGCTCCTGTAGCCACCCACAACCATCTGCGTAAATTCATAACTCATCTGGCAGAAACATGACGTTTGCACATAACACAAACTTCCAGAAGTCAAAATTTGTGGGAACACCAGCACAAAGAAGAACAAGTAAGCAAAGGCTACAGTCGAGCGGGGCCGACCGTTGAATACCCTACAACACGATAATAAACGATACAGTTTATATAGGCGACATACTCTAATTTTCTAATGCAATAGTCAGAAGTACGTCTTTCCTGTATTTGTGAATTCTCCAAAAAGTCACTGGAATGGACATTTTCGTATTTTGTCTACAAAAGTTGGCAAACTATTTCACACATTGAATTTTTTTGGATGGCCATCCAAAACTGCTATGCTTTTGCAATGTCCAGTAACCCCCATTCAAAAGTGCATGAGGATCGGGCGATAATTACGTCCTGCTGACAATTTTGTCGTTTTTTGGTCCATTTCAACCCCAAAATATATGGCGATCATCTCCAAAAAGTGTAGGCTTCTATTCTGACCCTCATCTTATCCCCATGCAAAATTTCGTAAGGATCGGGCCATAAATGCGATCTGTATATGATATCCTGATATCCTAACTACTTAGTTTTGTTAGCTGTAGAAATATTACCAAATGTTTAATTCAAAATGAAAATATGCCAAAAATATAACAAAATTGAAAAAAATATGAGAAAATTTTACAAAATCAATATTTTCATCTTTAGAGAGATATTTTATGCGAGTTTTAAGAAGTTTTTTCTTTCCTGTCAAGAGGCCATTCTGAATTAATGAGAACTGTCGAAATCAGTTCAGCCGTTCTCGACATACAAGAGATCTTTCAAGCATATCTTCTTTGATAAACATATATATCGCACATATTTTGCTATATATCCGATTTGTTGGATGTTAACATCAATGTAAAGGTCAGAAGTAACCTTGTGATGGCTTTGTGATTTCGCAGGGATTTAAAATATTCACGATTTAATGAAAAATTTTGAATTTTTTCAACACAAAAGTTATGGTCTATTTTACCCGCTAAATATTATCCGATGACCACCCAAATTGGTAGGCTTCTTCCCCGCCCTAAACTCTAGCTACATGCGAAATTCCGCGTCGATAGGTCTATAATTGCGACCTGTATAGCTACTGCAAAATCCGACATTTTTTCAGTATTTGGTCCATTTCAACCCCTAAACATTTGGCGATCATCTCCCAAAGAAATAGGGTTCTATTCTGGTCCAAGCCCCACCTACATTCTAAATTTCGTGAAGATCGGGCCATAATTGCGACCTGTAGAGTGATTACAAATTAACATGGACAGACGGACAGACGGACAGACGGACGGACGGACATACATAGCTAGATCGACTCAGCTCGACGAGCTAGGAAGATCCATATATACTTTCCTATGTGGGAAACCAATATTTCGAGGTGTTACATAAATTCTGGCCCAATCAAACTTATAATACCCCCAACACATAGTGTTGTAGGGTATAAAAATCACCTGGACTCTGTGTAGAAACTATCATAAATTTTATTTATATTTTTTTCTTTGTATTTGAAAAAATGTAGTTTTCCATATGAGGGGTGAATCTAATTTCAAGGATCAAAAGACAAAAAACTTGGATTTTTGAGAATATTTTTACAGTGATAAAAAGACCAAACAAGTTCGATTGTTTGAAAACAAAAATACTATACAGGGTGAGATAAAATACTGCAACAAAGTCAAAAGCCATAATTTTTCCTTTTTTTTAATTTTTATTGAATGAAAACAAAAATTATAGGAAATAACATCAAAATTTAGAAAAAGTTTCGATTTGTTCGAATTGGTCACCTTTGGCACGAATTATGGCCTTCAAACGGCCCATGAAAGCGTCACACGCTCCCCGAATGTTGCTCTGCGGTATTTTGGCCTATTCTCGGCAAAGCGCTTGCTTGAGGTGATCGACACTTTGGTATTGTTAGTGTCAACCTTGCCTCCCCAAAATACTCCTGACACAATAGTCCAACGGATTGGGTATTCCGAGATTTTGGTGGCCATTTTGCGCTGATGATGAAATGAAGCGAGGAATCTCATTTTGTAATCTTTCTTGGGTGGCGCGTGCTAAGTGCGATGGTGCTGAGTCCTGTTGTAAGGTCCAAGGTCTGCGGCCAAAATGTTTGCGTGCCCAAGACTTTAATACACCCTTCAGAATATTTTCACGGTAATATTCGGATGCCCGGTCGATTAATACGAACGGAGAGCGACCATCGGCTGTTATGGCGGCCCACATCATCACCATGGCAGGCGCTTGAATTATGGTGGCCAACCGAAGGTGCACATTTTCAGCTGACCTCTTTGGCAAGTAAACACGAATATTTTTTTTATAAACTGCTGGACCAAGAATGTTTTCCCATCGGAGAAAACCAAATTCGGCAGTTGACCAATTTCAGCCGAGCGAAGCAACTCTTTAGCTCTTTTGAGTCTATTTGTTTTCTGTTGCGGTGTAAGTTCTAGCACTTTATGGAATTTCAGTGGCTTTACCCCGAGCCCGTTTCTCAAAATTGCCGAATGGAATATTGCGATATGTTCAGCTCACGAGGCATTTTTCGGCCATTGCGACGCGGGTTTCAATCAAGTTGCTTCTTTACTTTTCGAACCATTTCTGCTGGTGTTGCTGTTTTCTTCCGTCCATTTCCTTGACATCGGGCTACGCTATCAGTATCATGGTAACGAGCGACAAAAGATTTTTTCATATTTAAATTCTGGAGTGCTCTAACGATAGCTACTTGTGGGTTTCCAGCCAAATATAAAGAAATCACACTATCACGCTTGAATTCCAGCACGAATAACTTTTTTTCTGGAAAATTCTCACCTAAATGATTTTGTACGCTTGTGAACAATAGGGCGTGGATTTTTAATATTTTCTTAAGGTCAGGCCATAGGCGTGGATTTTTTAAAAATATTTTCTTAAGGCCAGGCCATATACGTGGATTTTTTAAAAATTTTTCTTAAGGTCAGGCGTGGATTTTTAAAAATATTTTCTTAGGGTCAGGCGTGGATTTTTAAAAATATTTTCTTAGGTCAGGCCATAGGCGTGGATTTTTTAAAAATATTTTCTTAGGTCAGGCCATAGGCGTGGATTTTTTAAAAATATTTTCTTGGGTCAGGCCATAGGCGTGGATTTTTTAAAAATATTTTCTTAAGGTCAGGCGTGGATTTTTAAAAATATTTTCTTAAGGTCAGGCGTGGATTTTTAAAAATATTTTCTTAAGGTCAGGCGTGAATTTTTAATAATATTTTCTTAAGGTCAGGCCATAGGCCATATTTAAGGGTGTCCGTCCGGCAGGTTGGCGCACAAAATAACTCTCCAAGCGAGTGTCCAAACTTGTTACATCGTAATATTATTATCCCCCACAAAAGGCCCAAGATTTCAAGAAAAATAATTTACCTTATAGAAGGAGAAAGTATCATCTCATTTTGTGAAAACTTCAGACTGCTGGCATTTTTAAGCCTCTCGTCCGACAGATGTTATAATTATTCCAGTGACAGTTCATATTATAGCTGTCACTGGAATAATTTTAACAGCTGTCGGACGAGTGGCTTAGAAATGACAGCAGTCTAAAGTTAGTTGCAGTTTTTTCATCTCACCCTGCATAAGTCCAAGTTGATCCCTTTAAATGAAAACATTTTAATGGATAATATTTGTTCATTGTTCCCTGGTTATTTTTTCTCCCAGCTATTTTTCATGCTGGTGTTTCATAGCTCCAAATTTTAGGAGAATATATTCAAATGTCATAGAGTTGAAATCGTACACCTCGTTGGGCGCCATTTTCGAAATAAAATCTAAATCTTCTAACAAATCAATAGAATATTTGGCTTTGAATAAATGTCTGGTCTCCCAGTTATTTTCTATAAATGTGTTGCACACCTCCAAACTTTAGGAAAATATACATACAATATATATACAATGGAAATCGTACGCCACGTTGGGTGCCAATTTTAAAAATGAAATCTAAATCTCCTAACAAATCAATAGAGTATTTGGCTTATAGAGTTATTTTATTTATTATTTGGCTTTGAATAAAAGTTAGGGCCCACAATTATTAGGCTTTAAATAAGTGTAATTGAAGCGGGAGGCTTTAAATTAACTGCATTTTACTATCTCCACGTTGGGCGCCATTATGCACACAAGACTTTTTTAAATCCATTGGGATGGAAAACATTTCCCAGGTCTTTTTTGAATTTTTGAGAGCATATAACAGATTTTTTGGAGTACCTCCAGGGGATTTTTATATGGGAGATTCTTCTAGAAACTTTTCCTATAAACAAAAGATTTGGAAATGTTGATATCATTCAACCTATTCCAAGTAGCCAGACAATATTGCTTACTGCTTACCACAATATTTAAACTTTT